TTCTTTTTGCATACATAGTAGTTTTAGGCTTGCATTTGCATACATATGCACGTTTGATGTCTTAATCAGGTCATTTGGAGCTAATTGGAACATTGCCTATCACTGGAGACTAGTTGAGGAAGGAAAGACTCTGTCTGCCCCATGTACGGACCCGCACTCGGTCGAGCTAGTGAGATGCGTCCGAAGTATCGTATCAAATGAAGGGTTTACACTCCGATTCAGCCTCTGACTTCTTCTTGGAAGTTGTGGATAATTGAGTTAGCTTTCGTCTGGAGGTGGTTTCATGTCATTCGGACCAGCGGTTCAGAAGATACGACGATTGGTTGGACTCGACCCACCAGCTCGACCGGCCAGTTTCCAACTCGATCGAGCTGCTTTTCCAGGAGTCAAAGTCAAACCCGAAAAATGTTGCTTCCCTTTGACTCCCCTTTGACCCTAAACCTAGTTTGCTTTACTATAAATGGCATTGAGCCACGAATTAAACAAGCTTTGGCTCAACCTTTTAATTAATCTTGTATTTGCATTTCCCTTTTTACTTTTTAGCCTCTCTTTGTGTTCTTGAGCTCTTGCTCATAGAACCCTAGATCTAGGCCTTGTTATTGTGTTTTTGCACTTTGCTATTTCAATAAAAGTTGTTTATCTTTATCTCCTCTATCTTTTGATGTCTCTTTATTGCATTTGGTTGTTTATTTCATCATGTGTAGTGAGTAGTTTCTCTTTAGGGTTTAAGATGGGATAGGTTAGAGGTTGTTTATGCTTAATCTCTCTTGCTTTATGTTCTTAATCTAGAAATCTCTCTCTTTTGGACAAACCTTAAGGCTACATGACCACTATCCCTGGCTTGTATGTCCATAGGCGATTCTCCACATGGAAGTGATGGAAATCGTTGGAAAAGGTCCACTAAGAGCTCCAATAACTCTTGCTCTCGAAATGGAGTTCATAGGGGTTGGATGGATTAGTTTGAGCAATGATCCTATGGCCTCCAAGGCTTGATTCTCACTGGCTAACCCCCTGTTTCTGAGATCAAGTCTTGGTTGATAGCTTTCACCTTGGGAAAGGGTTAGCTAGGCATTGAGAAGCTCAATATCAAGAGATAGCTTGAGTACAAGTTGTTTAAGAGCAAGACTGATTAAGTATAGCCTCCCTTTAGCTGCAAAACCCTGTCTTTAACCCTAATCTTCGCATTAGCATCTTAAAGTTTGCACCTTTATTGCTTTTCATTCGCTTTCCTCTGTTTTTACACCAACTCGACCCTCAACTCGATCGAGCTCTTGGTCGAGCTGCTTTTATTTACTGCTTTTGCTTGCATTTCATTTCATATTAGGTTGTTTAGTTGTTACATCCCTCCATTTAATCATTTGGCTTGACTTTCTTGTGTTTGCATATTCTCATAGAGCAACATCTCACCCTTATGGATTGATAACCTCTTATACTTCAATGACTATGATGGTTAAGAGGAATTGATTGATTGTGATTGCACCATACCATCTCATCTCTATTCACCCCTGTTTGCATTCCACCTCATTTCATCATCTTCATTCATATCATATCACACCCACACACAAATCCTATCATCAGCCATCATGTTCTTGAGTTCAGTCATTTGAAAAGAATCAGGGGAGCTAGTAGTGGTGCGGCTTGAGCGGTCATAATCAGGACAATTGTTACAATCACTAGCTGCAAGATTCTCAATAAGAACCTTAGCTTCATCAACAGTCTTGGTCATGAAGTTTCCATTGCTTGCAGTGTCCAATGAAAGCTTGTACTTGTGGTCTATGCCACGATAGAAGATGTTCCATAGGTTTCCTTCATTGAAACCATGATTAGGGCAGTCCCTAATGTACTCCTTGAATCGGTCTAGCGCTTCATAGAAAGATTCATTGTTGGCTTGGCGAAAGTTGGAGATCTTGTTCCTTACAGAAATCGATCTCTGCTTGGTGTAGAAGTGGTTGATGAAAGCGGCTTTGTACTCATCCCAAGTGGTAATGGAGTGAGCTGGCAGAGACTTCAACCATCTTGAAGCTTTGTCGCTGATGTACTTGCATTTTACATAGTTTTAGTACATCTTTTATGCATCTTTTGCATAGTTTTAGCATCCATTGCATCATATCTTGTTCCTTTTCTCTTCTTATGCATTCATGTTAGTTTTAGGTTGCATTTGCATACATATGCATGTTTGGTCCTTTGAAATAGGTCTTTTGGAGCATTCTGGAGCATATGGGATGAGGAGCATGGAGGGACTTGGCACATGGACGCAGCTCAACTGGATACGCAAAGGAAGAAGGGAGAAGCCATCTTGAAGACCAGCTCGACCGTCTACTCGACCAACCGGTCGAGTTCCTCAACTCGACCGGCCAAGCTTCAACTCGATCGAGCTGAGAAGTCAACAGTCAAACCCGAAAAATGTTGCTTCCCCCTTGACTTTCCTTTGACCCTAAACCTAATCCTCTTGTATTTAAAGGCTCTAAGCCACGAAAAAACCACCAAGCTTTAGATTATTTTGTTTTAGTTTCTTTTAATTTATTGTCTTTTACTTTTTAGAGCTCTAATCCCATCTTTGTGTTCTTGAAGCTCTTGCTTCTTGAATCCTAGATCCTGGATAATCTCTTTTGTATTTGCACTTGCTTATTTCAATAAAAGTTGTTTAATTTCATCTCCTCTTTCTTATGATGTCTCTTTTATTGCATTTGCTTGTGTTTACATTCATGTGTAGTGAGTAGTTACCCATTAGGGTTTGAGATGGGATAGATTAGAGGTTTTATGCTTAATCCTTCTTGCTTATGGTCTTAATCTAGATTCTCTCTCTTTTGGAAATCTTAAGGCTACATGACCACTACCCCTGGCTTGTATGTCCATAGGCGATTCTCCACATGGAAGTGATGGAAATCGCTGGAAAAGTCCACTAAGAGCTCCAATATCTCTTGCTCTAGAAATAGAGGTCTAAGGGGTTGGATGGATTAGTTTGAGCAATGATCCTATGGCCTCCAAGGCTTGATTCTCACTGGCTAACCCCCTGTTTCTGAGATCATTCCTTGGTTGATAGCTTTCACCTTGGGAAAGGGTTAGCTAGGCATTGAGAAGCCCAATATCAAGAGAAGCCTTGATACAAGGAGTTTTAAGAGCAAGATTGATTAAGTATAGATTCCTCTGATTGCAAAACCCTGTCTTGACCCTAATTCTCGCATTAGCTTGTTAAAGTCGCTGCCTTTATGCTTTTTCTCAACTCGACCCTAAACTCGATCGAGCTGGTACTCTGTTCCACTCGACTCGAGTCCTTGGTCGAGCTGTTGCTTCTACTGCTTTATTTACTTTACTGCATTGCATTTCTGTTTCATTTAGGTTGTTAGTGTTACCAAATCTATTACTGCTTGCTTGACTTCCTGTTGTTTCATATTCTCATAGAGTGACAAGTTTCCCATTTTGGATTGATAACCTCTTATACTACATGACTATGATGGTTAAGGGAATTGATTGATTGTGTTTGCATCTTACCACCTCATCTTTATACCACTGTTGCATTCCACCTCATTTCATCATTTCATCATCATTCACACACAAAATCCTATCATCAATTTGGCGCCGTTGCCGATTTGGGATTATTTTTGTTGCATTTGAGTTTCAAACACACTTGGACGATCAAGCTATACCACCCCTGTTCTATTGTACTGCTGGGTTTTTGTCTCTTTTTGCAGGTGTATGCGAACTCGATCGAGTCGGTCTACAGAGACTTGGTCGAGCTAGACTTACAACGGGTAGAAAGAGGGTTCAGAGGTCACAGAGGGTACAAGAGGAACCTGAGGTGCTTGTTGCTGATACAATGGATGTACCAGAGGGGAATGGAAACCCTTTGGGCAATGGACTCGGTCGAGCTAGGCAAACTCGACCGATTGGTCAAGGAGATGCTCCAAACCGCCACCAACAGAGACAAGGGATTGTTCCACCACCAGTGCAGAACCACAACTTTGAGATCAAGCTGGGAATGATCAACCTTGTCAGAACAAGATGTTCCATGGATTGCCAAGTGAAGACCCCATTGACCACCTTGATGAGTTTGATAGGCTTTGTGATTTGACAAAGATCAATGGTGTCTCTGAAGATGCCATCAAGCTGAGACTCTTTCCTATGTCTCTAGCTGACAAAGCTCACCAATGGGAGAAGAGCTTGCCCCATGGCACAATCACCACTTGGGATGAATGCAAGAAGGCCTTTCTTGCTAAGTTTTTCTCCACCGGTCGCACAGCCAAGCTTAGAGGAGAGATATCCAGCTTCATCCAGCGAAACAATGAGACATTCGCAGAGGCTTGGGAGAGGTTCAAAGGCTACACAAGTCAGTGCCCACACCATGGATTCAACAATGAATCACTACTCTCCACTCTTTATAGAGGATGCTTGCCTAGGTATAGGGAGATGCTAGACACAGCTAGCAATGGGAACTTCCTCAACCAGGATGTAGATGATGGCTGGCAACTTGTGGAGAACATAGCTAACTCAAATGGAAGCTATGGAGAAGAGTATGATCGCACCAACCGGAGCTCGACCCACCACTCGATCGAGTCAGACGAAAAGTTGAGAAAAGATGTTAAGGCATTGAATGAGAAGTTGGATAAGCTGATCCTAGCTCAGTCCACAATGAAGAAAGTCAACTTTGTGTCTGCTGAGGAGATGGAACCAGTCCAAGAAGGGGAGGATACACAATTTGCTGAGGTGTGCTACATGAGCAATGGGCAAGGAGGTTACAACAAAGGATACTATAATTACAAGTCCAACCCTGCCATGTCATACCGCAACACTGATGTTGCTAACCCTCAGGACCAAGTATATCCTCAACAACAAGCAGCTCGATCGAGTCAAGGTGCCACAACATGGGTATGGTCAAAAGAACAATTACCAAGGACCACAAGGCACTTTCCCTGGACAACAAATGAATATCCCACCAGGCTTTCCCCACCAACCACCCCAGCCTGCACCTTCACAAGAGAATGAGCTCAAGGCAATGCTAAAGCAACTACTTCAAGGGCAAGCTGATGGGGTAGTGGACACAAGCAAGAAGCTAGCTGAAATAAACTCAAGATCGAGAATCTCAACACAAGGGTTTACTCTCTGGAGAATCATGCTTCTTCTGTTGCTGCTGCTACAAAGCAAGGACAACTACCTGGTAAAGCTATTCAGAACCCCAAGGAACAGTGCAAGGTCATCTTCACTCAAGAAGGACTTGTTGAAGAAGAGGATCAAGAAAGGGTCATTGAAGATTTTTGTTTACTGCTGAATGATGAAGAGATTGTTGCTGCTGAGGCTCCTGGAGTCCAGATTGATCAACCAGAAGTGCATGCACCTACTGTGGCCATTCACACTTCACCAGTTGAGCTCGCACGACAAGCTCGATCGGCAGCTCGATCGAGTCAACTCTAGCTCGATCGAGTCCGACCTCTTCTGTCCGAAGCCTGTTTTGCTTGATCCTTACCAACCGGTTGCCGCTTCCTCGTCTCGCCTACTTAGTCAAGGTCACAAGGAAGTGATTCACAAGTTCAGAAGAGATCTCAGTGGGATTGGAATTGAGTTGCCTCCTATGGATAGCATGAGTGAGGCATTTGATCAAATGCAAATGGTCAAGGATGTTCTAGCCAACAGTGATAAAGTTTCAGAGGTCCTACAAGAGTCTACTCATCAGTTCAACCTGCTTACTTCACCCACCTTCCTACCAAAGGTCAAGGATCAAGGGAAATTCACTCTCCCTTGCACACTTGGGCATCTTGAGATTGACAATGCCTTAGTGGATTCTGGAGCAAGCATCAATCTGATCTCTCTCTCCATGGCAGAGAAGCTAGGCATTGCTGGAGCCTTGCAGCGCCCTACTACTTCAATCATGTTTGGAGATGCAACTTCTAAGTCTCCTCTTGGAGTGTTCAAGAACTATCACTTGAAAATTGGAGAATGCATCATCCAAACTGATCTCACTGTGATGGAAATGGAAGAAGAGAAGGATTTACCTCTGTTATTGGGAACCCCTTTCCTTAGTACAGTTGGCGCTTCAATAGACTTTCACAAGCAAGAAGTGATCCTTCACAAGGTGAATAGTTTGGTGTCATATCGCTTGCAGCCTAGAGGTTCAGACTTTTGTGCCACAATTGACAGTACCACTCTCAGTTCTAAGAGTCATGGAGCTACAAAGGTTGTGAAGGAAAGGGTTGACAAAGAACCAAGAGTTGGGAAGGATAAGGATGAGAGAGGACCAAGGATTGAGAAGCCACGTCTTGAGAGGGCTAGAGTTGAGAAACCACGATCTGATAGACCACGAGCTGATCGACTTGTTCAAGCCCCTTGTGTGCTTGATGAAGAGAGCCTTCAAGCTTTGTTTGATGAGCCACTAGGAAGGGCTCTAAAAGAAGGGGAGGATGTAGCCTCTAAGGCAAGACCAGGGATAAAAGAAAGGATCCACCAGCTCAGGCCCCTTCATCAAGCCATCTCAGCTCACAATGACTTTGTTCCCCACCAAGTTTGAAAATGGGAAGATTGAGTACAAGATAAGGTACAAGGGGAGATCAAGGCCATTCTCTAGAGCCAAGGCCTTGGTGACTTCAGAACAGTCCAGGGACCCAACCAAGCTAAAGGAGCTTCTGTCTCAAGTCCTCACTATCACCCTTGATGGTGGGACTAGCTCAACCAATGCCTAAGAAGGTAAAGGTCAAGCTATGGGACCTTAAACAAGCTCACTTGGGAGGAAGTCCCATGTTTATCCTTGTACATATTCTATTTATGCAATTTCTATCTATTTATGTTTTAACCTTTCAATAAGTTAAGTTTAGGTGACAAGGAGCCAGCTCGACCGACAGCTCGATCGAGCTAGAAACCAGGGCAACTCGATCGAGTTCCACAACTCGACCGAGGTAAGTTTTTGAATTTCAAATTCATAACCGTTTTCTTGGTCAAGGGAGTGGGTCCCACAAGCTGATTTTGGTCCCCCACTACCCTAATTGATCAGAAAAATCCCTAGCTTCTTGTCCCCTCTTTATTTCATCTTTTAATCTCAACCACACATCTCAAACACTCCCTCTTCCCCATAACTCGATCGAACCCCTTCTCCACTCTCCCACACTAAAATTTCTGAAACTCATCTCTCTCTCTCATCACCACAAGAAAAAAATTTCGATTTCTCTCTTTTTCTTCATTGCTTTGCTTTGGGTTTTAGTTTACTGCTCTTCAATTCCATCATTCAAGCAAGGTATGAACCCTAAAACCCTTGATTCCTTCCATCTCGATTTCCATTATTGCTTGTTTCTCTTTGATTTTTGATTGCATGTGTCCCTTGTGGACTTGTTCTTGAGTAATTGCTTTCATATTTCTCCTGCTATATTTTGAATTTGCCTCACCTCACCTCTGTTTTGCCATTAGAACTTGTTGCATGTGCTTGAAATTGAATTTGAGTTTGGTATTGGTTAAGATGCTTAGTGTTTCACTAGAATTGCTCATTGTTCCATTTACTAGTTGTTCTTGGTTCAATTTGATTGATTAGCATCCTTTCCAGCTCTTAATACTTGAATTAGGTTCGGTTATACTCTGTTTTCACCTAGCTCGATCGAGTTTGTCACTCGAGTTTTTTGACTCGATCGAGCTGAGTGTCGAGTTGACCAAACCGATCATTACAACTCTAATTCTTTGTAATCTTTGATGCATTTCAGGTACTTTAGTGAAGAAACAGTGTAACAAGAGATGACAAACAGTGAGGGAAGTCGCGCTTCACAAGGAGAATGGTTGAGGGTGAATCAAGCAATGCAAGGGAAAGAAGGCTTAAATGCAAGCCGATTTGGAGAGGATGATCAAAGGATGGAAGAGTCTGATGCAGAGGATATGTGTACTCTGAGGAAGAGTCTGAGAGTGAGAGATTGAGGGAGGAAAGGAGGACCAAGAAGAGGAATGACCCATTAGTAGTGAGAGTGAAGCAAGGGGAGTTTGAGATTGGAGTGAACCTTGTTCAAGAGGAGGGAAATGGTTCTCCAATGAAGAAGGAAGTGATGAGACTGAGAGTGAAGAGGAAGGAGAAGAGGTGAATCAATTGGTTGAGAGAGTGAGCAAGAGGTAACCAAGATGAACCTATGGAGGAGGTTGAGCAAGAGAGCAAGAGGAGGAGGAGAACTCCCCATGTACCAAGAGCATTACAATGCTCTCTTCTCCATGGACTTTGTGGAGACCAAGTACCCACATGTTGACACAATGAAGGCCCTTGGAATCTTTGAGGATGTGGAGTTGGTCTCAAGAACATGCACTTGGCCAAGTTCTTCTCTTATCACATGGAATCCTACAAGGAGCTCACTTGCGAGTTTAGCTTCAATGAGGTACCACATGTATGAGAGAAGATAGAGCTGATTTGGACCAAGGATTGGGATGGATCACGTTCTTGGCTAAGGGAGAGAAGAGAATGGTGACCTTTAGGCAGTTGGAGATCTTGTTTGGGTTCAACTATGGAGAAGGAACCAAGTGGAACTTCAAGGAAAAGGAACTCCAAAGGGTTTGGGCTACAATCGCTGATGGAGTGTACTCTTCCTCAAGGTCCAAGGCTGCTCAGATCAGGAGCCCAGTGTTGAGATATGTGCACAAGGCACTTGCCAACACCTTCTTTGCAAGGAAGGCACCGGGACATCAACGAGGGGGAACTCAAGTTTCTTGACATGGGAATCAAGCCCTTCTCTCACGCACAAGCGATGGCAAGAGGATCAGGGGAGATAGATCACACAGGGAACTTGATGCCTTCCTTGACCATCTCCTCACCTACAAGATCACAGCTTACAACACTAGCATCAACGAGGAAGGCGCTAAGTGTTGGAGGGCTCATCACACCTATCTTGTGTGCTGCTGGAGTGAACCCAACTGATAGAAGCCACTGAACCAGGTTGGATGGACATCAAGTTTTGCAAGACCAACCTCTCATTGAGCACAAGGAGTTGGATGGGAGGTTCCAATTCAAGTTCACACATCCATTGGTTGGACCCTCCAAGCTTCTCCTGCCCAACCCAGAGCTCACCACAGTAGTCAGGGGTGAGAACATTGACTTCAGACCCCCTGTGTACACATTAGTTGGGCATGAGGATGATTTGCGAGAAGAGGAGCCTGAGCTCGATCGAGCTGAGGTCGAGCTGAGTCTCGAGCTGAGGATCAGTCCAGGAAGTGCGGATTTGGGTGAGCCTGAGTGCTATTACTTTGAGGAGTATGAGGCTCCAAGGATGAACCCCTCTGTTGTGGCTGCCCACAAGAGGATTGGACTTCTCCAAAAGTTCAACAAATGGCAAGGGAAAGGCCATGGAAAGATGCAAAAGTCCATGGACAAGATGGTGAGCAAGATCAAAAGTTTGGAGAAGAAGGTTTCTGGTTCTTCAAGCAAGAAGAAGAAGGTCCAGGCCCCACATTCCCTAGGAGTAGATCACTTCCTCACCACTCCAAGGAGGCTCCCTGCCCAAGAGCCTCACAGAGCCTCTTCTTTCGAGCCAAGGGAAGGAGAAGACAACACGCAGAGAAGGAGGAAGACTTCCAAGGCCAGACGCTCCAGCTCGACCACCGGACTCGATCGAGTCCAAACAGAGGAAACTCAACTCGATCGAGCTGAGGGTCGAGTTGACCTGGAGGAGCCCCTGTTTGAGATCCGGATTCGAGTACGATCCAACGCCTTACCAGGAGACCCTCAGTAGATGGACCCCTATACAGCTTCGAGCAAGCCAGCTCCACCAAGGCCAAGGAGCCACACACTTTCGATGAAGAAGAGGAAGAAGAGGAGCCGCAAGCTCGATCGAGTGAGGCGAACCCAGTGAGTGGAGTGCTCCTGATGGCCGTCTACCATCTCCAGACCACGACCTAGCCTCCCAGTTCTTTGGGGGGCACTGAGGTATCCAAACACCAACCCTTGTATATACCATTTCATATTTTCTTGCATTTGTTTTGTTTTTCTTGGTTTTGCCCTCTTGAATCTTTCACTAAATTTTTCTCACACAAGGGACTGTGTGATTTAAGTTTGGGGGAGGGTTCAAGAGATGATTTAACCTTGTTTTCTTTGTTCTTAGTTTTTCATTATCTTTTGCATAGAAAAACCAAAAAAATCATAAAATTTTCAAAAAATCCAAAAATATTTTCATCTTTTTGCATTCATATTTGTTAGACTTGTTTAGGATTGCATTTTTCACTTGCATTGTTGATTTGACTTTGAAAACTTGTCCATCTTTTGCGATTTCTTGAGTGCCCTGTTTTTAGATTCTTTTGTGCATTAGGGTGAGATTGATTGAGCAGCAAGAACCATGTTTATCTTGATCATATCACTGCATGCACATCTCATTCAACCATTGCTGTGATTTGATGCATTTCCCTATCTATTTGAACCATAACTTGATCTTTAATTACCAATGCTTGCATTTGATTTCAACTCATGGCTACCACATACATATCTGGACATTCTTTACCATTTTCATATCCCTTTTGCTTGTCCAGATAGCTGATCTCTATCTTTGAGACAGTTACCACACCTTAAACCTAAGCCTTTTCATTTCAAACCCCATATTATCTCTTGTGCGAATGTGAGAACCTTTCTTGGCTTTGCTTAGCATAAGGTGTTGTGTTTAAACCGGCAGGGGCAGTAGTTCTAGTTGTCTAGTTCTCTTGGGATTGTTTTCAGGCTAAGTTTGGGGGTGCCAACTCGAGCTCGATCGAGTTGGGTGTAAAAACCAGAAAAGTGGTAAAAGTTGGGAAAAACCCAAAGGAAAAAGAGTTTAGTTAAGTCCAGGGAGTTGGCAGTGTTAAAAAGGGTCTAGTAAAGGTTTGGGAAGTTAAAAAAGGAAAGTAAAAAGGGTTCTAAGTAGAATGAAAAGAAGGCAAAGCCTCAAGTGTCAAAAAGAAAGAAAAGTTCCCTAAGTGTTTAGAAAATCCCAAACCGCTAGATGTTACCTCAAGAAGCCTCTCCCTAGGAGTTCTTAAAAGAAAAGTGAGCAAAGCTCCTCAGTTTCAAAGGCGAAATGCCAAAAAGGGTAGTTAGGATTTTGTTCTAAAAAGCTCTAAGTGTTGAACTCGATCGAGTTAGGATTAGGCGGCTCGAGCTGCTGTTCTTGCATCATCTTTGGTTCTAACACTTAGCCTTCTGCCAAAGCAAAGCCACTTTCTTGAGAGATCCCTGTTACTAAACCACCATACAAAAGAGACCCTCTTTGTCTCTTAACCCATAAACCCTTGAAACCAAATGAGTTGATTGATCTTGCATGTTTTTGGTTCACTGTTTTTGCTTAATGAATGTTAAAGGGATTTGCTGATTTGAATGCATTGTTTGAGTGACTGTGAAGTGGGATTGATGTTGATAAGCATGGTTAAATCTTAATGAATATCTCTCACCTTGTTGCATTCTAGAATCTCTAAGTTGGACATTTAGCAAATCGCTTTTGAGGACATGTTTTTAAGTGTTGAATCAGCTTGTTTTCAAACCTCATCTCTTTCTTGTTCTATTTGTTTGCTTGAGGGCAAGCAAAGTTCAAGTTTGGGGGTGTTGATGTACTTGCATTTTACATAGTTTTAGCACATCTTTTATGCATCTTTTGCATAGTTTTAGCTTCCATTTGCATCATATCTTGTTCCTTTTCTCTTCTTATGCATTCATGTTAGTTTTAGGTTGCATTTGCATACATATGCATGTTTGGTCCTTTGAAATAGGTCTTTTGGAGCATTCTGGAGCATATGGGACATAAGGAGCATGGAGGGACTTGGCACATGGAGCAGCTCAACTGGATACGCAAAGGAAGAAGGGAGAAGCCATCTTGAAGACCAGCTCGACCCAACTCTCAACTCGGACAGTCAAACCCGTTGTCCCCCTTGAGCTTCCTCTTTGTATTTAAAGGCTCTAAGCCACGAAAAAACCACCAAGCTTTAGATTATTTTTGTTTTAGTTTCTTTTAATTTATTGTCTTTTACTTTTTAGAGCTCTAATCCCATCTTTGTGTTCTTGAAGCTCTTGCTTCTTGAATCCTTAGATCCTGGATAATCTCTTTGTATTTGCACTTGCTTATTTCAATAAAAGTTGTTTAATTTCATCTCCTCTTTCTTATGATGTCTCTTTTATTGCATTTGCTTGTGTTTACATTCATGTGTAGTGAGTAGTTACCCATTAGGGTTTGAGATGGGATAGATTAGAGGTTTCATATGCTTAATCCTTCTAGCTTATGGTCTTAATCTAGATTCTCTCTCTTTTGGATAGATCTTAAGGCTACATGACCACTACCCCTGGCTTGTAAGTCCTTAGGCGACTCCACACGAAAGTGATGGCATTCGCTGGAAAAGATCCACTAAGAGCTCCAATATCTCTTGCTCTAGAAATAGAGGTCTAAGGGGTTGGATGGATTAGTTTGGGCAATGATCCTATAGCCTCCAAGGTTTGATTCTCACTGGCTAACCCCCTGTTTCTGAGATCATTCCTTGGTTGATAGCCTTCACCTTGGGAAAGGGTTGGCTAGGCATTGAGAAGCCCAATATCAAGAGAAGCCTTGATACAAGGAGTTTTAAGAGCAAGATGATTAAGT